ATATTTTAATTTTATTATTACAATACTTAATCTTACTTTTACGACTATTTTAATCTCTCTTAAGACAATTTCATCATACATTTAAATAGACCTTAAATCGAGTGTAAATACGTATATATATATATAGATATATATATATATAATATGCAATTAAAAGGAACAAATTATATGGTAAGAAGGATTCAATGGTTAAAATGGTGGAAAATGTGCACGAGGAAGGAATAGGGAATACGGGATTCAGAGATATGGAATTGTTTAATAAGGCCCTGATTGCAAAACAGGGGTGACGATTGATGCAGAACTCTTCTTTGCCTGTTCACAGGGTTCTAAAGGCAAGGTATTTCCCCCACACCAACTTTCGGGAGGCAGAGTTAGGAAGAACAGCATCATACACATGGTGTAGCATATGGATGGGGAGTGAATTCCTAAAACTTGGACTGCGGTGGCGGGTGGAAAATGTAGAGAAAATTAGAGTTTGGCATGATAAGTGGATACCAAAAGATAAACATTTCATTCCAAGCCCTCAAACAAATTATATGCTAAGAGATGATATGATTAAGGACCTCTTCCAAAAAAACAGGGTAGGTGAGATATCGCCAAATTAGACACCATGTTTTACAAGGAAACTGCCAGAGAAATCAAAGTAATTCCTATAGGTTTGAATGGCTAAGCAAACGTGCAAGTGTGGCACTACACAAAGGATAGGTTGCCTACGGTGCGAAGTGGATACCATTTATTGGTATCAAATGATCGTGACATGAACCACAGGGATGCATGCATTAGAGACATGGACACAATTAAAGAAAAGACCACCTGGAAGAACAGATGGTATTCATCCATACCAGTCAAGACCATAACATTTATTTGGAGGATGTGGCATGAAGTACTCCCAGTGTTTAGGCAATTACAAAGAAGGGGAATAATGGATCATGCAAGATGCCTAAGATGCGACGAAGAAGATGAAAGTATAATGCATGCGATTAGAGACTGTGTAAAAGCAAAGGATGTGTGGACACTGGTCTATCAGGGTGAAGATTGGCAGAACGATCAAATACAAAGAATTAAACAGTGACTGTCACATATGGCTGGAAGATTGGACAAAGTAGATTTTGACAGTTTTGCAATAGTATGCTAGGTGATATAGGGAACCAAGAACATAGAAGTTAAAGGTAATGAGACAAAACCTACGTCTGCCATGATCACATTTGTGCAACTGAATCTGAAGGAGTACCGTAAGATACATGAGCGAAAGGAGACACATCAAAAGCATACTCCAGGAAGATGGCAAGCACCAGCTAAGGGATGGATAAAAATCAACTTTGATGGGGCACTGAAAAGGAAGGAGGATAGGGCTAGCGTTGGTGGCATTGCTAGAAACCATCTAGGAGAACTACAAAGAGTATTCTACCTAACTTTTAATGGAATAAGGGACGCAGACATTATTGAAGGAATGGTATTTGCAAGAGCTACTAAATTTACAAGGAACATGTGCATGCAGAGAGTGATACTAGAGGAAGATACAGTGGGGGTAACCTCATAGATCAACCTAAATAAGGTAACTGATCTCTTAAGAATTGGAAGCCTCTTGAAGGAAACTAGAATGGAATTATCCAATGTTACAAAATGGATGGTATCCCACACGTATCGTGAAGCAAATGGGGTGGCTCACAAACTTGCAAAGCTAGCAACGACTGGGAGAGAAGAATGTTCTTGTTTAGAAAGGTTTCCAGCAGAAATCTATTCTAAAATTCATATCATTGTATTCCAAGACCTTTCTCTTTAAGTAAATGAATCTATTTTTTTAAAAAAATAAATTATAAAAAGTGATAGTTCATTAAAAAATTTTATTATTTGATATTATAATAAAAATATTAATGAAAAGAAATATTTATATTTAAAATTAATAAAATTATTTTAATGATCATAATGTACATATTTTATAAAGATATACATATTATTTGAATAACTGCACGGTGTAAAACAGTAATTTTGAAAAGAAATAGAGGTTCAATAATGGACAACCGTCAAACAACCGAAACGTGAAATATGGGTTAGTGTAAAAATTCAACGCTCCGACCGCATTTTTGCCATTTCCTTTTTTTTTTTCTTTTGTTTTGGTTTGTTTTGTATTATAGGAATCTTTCTTTGTATGAAAGCCGTCACATCCAACCGGTCAACCACGCGCAGCCTTGCTTTGAATCTTAAAGCCAAAAGCAGAGACATCCTTCATTTCCAATCTCCATTTTGACTTTCTGCGCCAGTTCCACCTGCTCCTGTATATATCTCATCTCTTATTTGTATTATATTTGTGTTGTACCGACTGCTTTCTCTTTCGTCTCCAAAAGGACAATCCAGCAAACAGTAATCGTTTTGTTCCTACTCTTTTCTGCAACTCCAGTCAGCTGCTCATCGTTGCAGATGAATTAAGGTAAGATCCTTTCTTCTCTGGGTTTTCTGATATCTGTAACCCTTTTTGTTTCTGGGTCTTGACTGAATTTAGTATATGTGCTTTGCTTTTTGGTTTCTTTGAAAGACAAGGAAAGAAAATTGTAGATATAACATAATTTGTTGAAATTTCATCCGAGTTCTTTCCTTTTTTTTTTTATTGAAAGTGTTATAAAGTCCTCACTTCTTAAAGAAACATAAAAAAAAAAAAAAAAAAAGCTCAAATGCTAAGCATATTCCAGCATCATTCTATTTGAATGACGGAGAGTTTTCCATGAATTAAGCTTTAACTTTTTGTTCATCAATGCTTTAAACTTTAAGGTGGTGTTTGATGTTGGTGATCATTTAAAATTAGGTGATTAGATAATTGTATTTAGTAGGAGATGATTTTATATGATCATAGTGATCAATCATTATTTTAGACGGTAATTTAATTCTCTTGTAAAAGGATAAAAATTTTATAATCAAAATAAAATGATAAATAAAATTAATAATACATAATATTAAATAAGGGCGGACAGTAATAAAAACTAGTGGGGGCCTGGCCCCTCAATATCGCTTTTGTATGACAAATTGTACAGTATGATGTTTGTGGCTTTGATGACAAACTGGAAAATCGCTTGTATTGTTTGCACCGTTGTATACTCGCTATAAAATTTGTTCGTATATTTTATAATCTCAAGATCTGTGAATTTGCACATATACTCCTTTTCCTTGCTTAATATTCTTTTGATTAGTTTAGATAATTTTTTGTTATATTTATTTATTTATTGAATTTAAATTTTTATTTTTAATTTAATTTAGTATCATGATTATTATTTTAACTTCATTATTATAAAAAAATTAAAATTAATTGATTATATTATAACTTGATTATATTATAACTTTATTAATTCAACCAATTCCAAATTTCCAACTAAGTATGAAACATATTTTACTTTTCCTTTTGGGAACTACAATTTCTCTTTTTCATATAATTTTTTACTTTTAATTATACCTTAAGAGTTCGTTTGTTTTTTAAAAAATAATTTTTAAAAAATATTTAAATTTTTTAAATTAAAAGAGATTTTTTAATATTTGGATAAGTTAATGAAAATTATTTTTTGATGTTTGGTTGTTTGCTGAAATTTTTTTTTCAAATAATATTAACATAACTATTAAAATATTAAAAATTATTTATGAAATTATTTATTATTAAAAATATTAATATTTAAAAATAATTATATTTTAGTAATAATATGTAGTATTAAAATATTATGTTAATATAAAAAATACTTAAACGTAAAATTATTTATTATTTTTATATTATTTATTAATATATTATAATATTATTCATTAATAATATTGATTAGTATATTATATTAATAGTATATTATTTACTAATAATATATTATTTATTAATATATTGTTATAATATTTATTAATATGTTATAATATAATATAATATTATTTATTAATATAATATTATTTATAAGTAAAATTATGTTTTAAAATATTAATAAATAATTCTACTCATTGATAGTTTTTTTTCAAAAAATATTGTTTTCTTTTTAAATTCATAAGATAATTTTCAGAAAAATGATCTCATATTTTATTGATCAGTAAATCATTTTACGTTGACCAACCAATTTTTTGCTAAACCAATACTTGAAAATATGAAAATTATTTTTCGAAAATCATTTTTCGCGAAACAAACAAAGCCTAAATCTCTATCTTTGTTGTTATGCACTTTTTTTTTTATAAAAAATTAAGATTGAAACCACTTTATAATAGATTAAAAAAGTAATTAATTATATTATAACTTGATTAGAAAAATATATTTACATGTAATCTCAAATTTTCAACTTTATTCATTTAATGGTGTATTTTATTTTTCTTGTTTTTGACAAAAATATATTATTTAACAATTGATTTATTTATATGTATTTTAAAAAATAATCAATCATAATTTTAAATAAAATTATTTATTTGATGTATTTTATTTTGTAAACATTTGTTTCATTTTATGAAAAAAATTAAGATCATATATAATACTATTTGGTCCCTCCAAAATTAAATATCAAGACTCGTCATTAATATGAAATATTTAATATATAAATTAAAAAATCTTTTTCATAATTATAATTATTTTATATTATAAATTTTTGTGTTTTTAAAGTAATATTTATTGTAACAAATTTAAAAATAATTTGTGTATTTTTTAAAACCTTTTAATATTATATATAATATTTTTATTTTATTATGATTTTAATATATTAATTTTATTTTTAATTCAAATAATTTTTCATAATTTATATTATAAAAATTAATTTATATATCAATAAATATATATGTTAATTTAATTATATTTTATTATGAAATAAATAATATTTTAAAATTATTATTTTTAAAAATATTAAAGTCATTAGTTTATATAACTATTATAATATACATAATTATTTTGATATTTTTAAATAAAATAGTATTTAAATTTTAATAATATCAAGCACAATTATAGGTGTGAAATAATTTAATAAAACATATTTATCGTATTTTATAAATATTAAAATATATCAAATATACGAAAAAAACATAATATCTTTCAAAATTCATTTCTACACAATTAAACACAAAATACATTTTTACCGAACCCATACATTTTTAATGCTATCTTATCATCGTGTAGTCAGAGTGTAAAAACTCTAGAAAAAAAAATCGAAAAACAACCCTCCTTTCCATGGTTAATTATCTGGCTCGCCATGATTGGCCTCTCTTCATTTTTTTAGTTATGGTCATTGACTCATTGCTCTACAATCTACTGCAACGTGTCAGACTGTAAGCGTGGGTGGGCCACTTGGCCGTTTAATGAGCCCTAATTTTCGGTCAATTATTAATGTTGGTTGGTTTGTTCCCACTGTAATGTTCAAGAATTCTGATGTCGACATTGCTTTCACGTTGTACACACGGCTTTGCAAAACATAAAAAATCTGTAAGAAAAAAAATGCAACTAGTAGTAGTTGTACTAGTGTTAAATTGCAAGAATCTAGATGTCACAGATTTTTTACATTAATTATGGTGGGTGATTACAAATCTGATTATTAACTTTTAATTAGTAATTTCATCGAGTTTTAGAGGTGAGCCATTGTCACAGTCTTGTTCTTGGGCCTTTCATGGTCTAGGCGAAAATGCTAAGAACAAATAAAATTACAGCAACTGTCCATATTCTTGTAGCTGTAAAGTTGATGATGGTCATAATGTCAAGTATCAAATGCCAAATGTATATGTGAGTACAGAATTCATTGTAGCAGCAAAATCAGGTACAATTGATGTTACAACTATGGATGAAGATGTCATTGTCCCCTTTCAATTATCTTTAACCCTTTCCCATTACTTGTTCAAATGTGAAACCATGAAAAATCCAATTTGGTGCAACGACTGGCAATGACAAAAGTTTAGTGCCAATTCAGGACTTTGACTTTTTGACTTGGGAGATGTAGACGGTGCCACAAATTTCAACACCAAAAATCGCTGTCGTTTCCAGTTCCATCCTCTTGGCAGTTTCTGTTAAAAGAAATGATAATTCTTGGAACCAGCTGATTGTATTTTATTTTTCCTTTTTGGCATTTCAAGCGGGACAAAATGATGGAATTTGCATAACCAATTTCATTTTCTTTTCAGGTTCATTGATAAATTAGCTGTTGATGACACTGGACTAATCTCTTGAGCATTGCAATTGAACTTGAAGGTAAATTGGCCACTCCAAAATCAAAACTCGCCTCGACGAAAATGGATAAAACAGCTCAATATGTTTTCTTGGTTCTTATCGGATCTCTAGCATTACTTAAAAGAGTAGCAGGAGATCCGAGAGCCCAAATAGTGAATATGACATGTGCCAACCAACTGGAGCACAATGCAAGTATCTTTGTTCCAAATTTTATTGCTACAATGGAGAAAATCAGTGATCAGATGCGTGATTCAGGTTTTGGAACAGCGGTTACGGGTTCAGGGCCTGATATTAACTATGGCCTTGCTCAGTGTTACGGGGATCTATCTTTGCTCGACTGTGTATTGTGCTATGCTGAGGCACGTACGTTTCTTCCTCAATGCTATCCATACAACGGGGGCCGTATTTTCCTTGATGGGTGCTTCATGAGATCTGAGAATTATAGCTTCTATGAGGAGTACACGGGACCGAATGACAGGGCAGTTTGTGGGAATACAAGCCAGAAGGCATCAAATTTTCGAGAACCGGCAAGACAGGCTGTGTCTCAAGCAGTTGCTACTGCACTGCAAAATGGAGGCTATGCTAAGGCTCAGGTGGCAGTTTCAGGAACAAACGAGACGGCTTATGTTCTGGCTAATTGCTGGAGGACAGTGAACCAGAGTTCTTGTAAGGCATGTTTGGACAATGCATCTGCATCAGTATTAGGGTGTTTGCCTTGGTCAGAGGGACGGGCACTCTACACTGGCTGCTTCATGAGGTACTCTGACAAGGATTTTCTCAATCAAGAACCACGAAATGGAATTTCAAGAGGTAAAAGAATTTCATCTCCTTATCATCTGTCACACATTAAAATGTTAGTTAATTCATACATTTGGTTTCTTTACACACTTCCCTTTGTATGTGTCCAAGTTCGTATAGTGACGGGATAAACTTTCCCCCTTAATAGTTTTTAGCTGATTGAGAATTTGCATTCATGAAATTGCAGGAACCATTATAATTATAGTAGTTTCTATTGTCAGTTCCCTGGTTGTCATAGCGGTTGGAGTGGCTATTGGAGTTTATATCTGGAAGCGCAGATACATTCAAAACAAAAGACGAGGTAAAAAGTTTATTTACTGGGTTTCACTATCCACTTTCCATGCACCCGAAAAAAAAAAGAAAAAACAAAACCCAAGGCCCAAACAAAGGAATAAGAGATGAAAATGTTGTAGTTGTCAGCCAATGTCATCTGAATTATTTAATTACATGCATGGAATTGTGGTGAGACGAGTTTTGGTTTAATAACATGATACTGATTCCAATTTGTTGCCTAGTTTTCCTCTTCTTTTTTGCTAAAATGTTTCTGCATTCCAGGTTCTAATGATGCACGAAAGTTGGTGAAACTCCTTCATGATAGTAACTTAAATTTCAAGTACTCTACACTTGAGAGGGCTACAGGATCTTTCAACGATGAGAACAAGCTCGGGCAAGGAGGATTTGGGACAGTTTATAAGGTAGTTTTTCCTCTGATGTCCACTGCTTCTCTTTGGGGCATTTAACCAGTGTGTTATGGTCAGTGATGTATTTGTCTTCTGTAGGGAGTTCTACCAGATGGAAGAGAGATTGCTGTCAAGAGGCTTTTCTTCAACAATCGACACAGAGCAGCAGATTTCTACAATGAAGTCAACATAATAAGCAGCGTGGAGCATAGAAACCTGGTCAGGTTGTTGGGATGTAGTTGTTCTGAACCTGAAAGTCTTCTCGTCTATGAGTTCCTCCCTAACAAAAGCCTTGATCGTTTCATCTTCGGTAAATACCAAAACTGAAATATACTCAGACCATTTACTTTAAAAAAAAAAAAAAGAAAAGAACAGTTTAATTGAAGCTGATGTGTACACTAACAGCTTTTTTCCTTTCAAAAACTTAACAGATCCCAGCAGAGGTCAAGTACTTAACTGGGAAAAGAGGTTTCAAATTATTATTGGGACAGTAGAAGGTTTAGCCTATCTTCACGAGAACTCCAAGACCAAAATCATTCATAGAGATATAAAAGCTAGCAATATCTTGTTGGATTCAAGGCTCCGTGCCAAAATCGCTGATTTTGGGTTGGCAAGGTCTTTCCAGGAAGATCAAAGTCACATCAGCACTGCCATTGCTGGAACACTGTAAGCATCATCTTCTTGCTGTTTGTTCCAGGCATGATTCACTGTTTAGCAATATTCGAAAGCTTCTCAGATTGGCTCACAGGAAAATCTGATTCAAGAGCATGAGCATTAGAATAGTAAATTTTGTTTTTCAATATCCTATTCAAATCTGTTTTTACTATCCACAGAGGATATATGGCTCCAGAATACCTAGCCCATGGCCAGTTAACAGAGAAGGCGGATGTCTATAGTTTTGGAGTGCTTTTACTGGAGATTGTTACTGGGAAGCAAAACAACAGGAGCAAAGCCACAGAATATTCTGACAGCCTAACTACAGTTGTAAGCTTCAGACAGTCCGTCTTTTTAAAGTTTACCCTTCTTTTCCCTCATGAAGAGTAGCACCACTTTAACTAAAGCTGATTTCCTGTGAGAAAAAGGGTTTCTTAAGGGTTTTTTTTTTTTTTTTTTTCATTGGTGGAGCAGGCTTGGAAACACTTTCAATTAGGAACCGTGGAGGAGATTTTTGACCCAAATCTAATGTTAAATAATAACAACCATAGCAGCAATCTCAAGAATGAGGTTTCCAGAGTAGTGCATATTGGACTTCTTTGCGCCCAAGGGATTCCATCACTAAGACCATCAATGTCTAAGGTACTACAGATGCTAAAAAAGAAAGATGAAGACCTCCCTGCACCATCTAATCCTCCTTTTATGGATGAAAAGACTATGGAATTCAATGACACAAGTGAGAACAAAGGCTATCCCTTCAATTCAGCTGATACTGATTCAATTGCCACTGTCACCCACAGTTCCTTCTACCCAAGATGATGTTTAAAGTCAGATGGGGGTGAAAGAGTATATCTGACATTGGATGGGACTTGCGCTTTTGATAAGGGGAAAGCTCCACAAGAATTTCACATTAGAATTTCGTATGGGGTCAAGCATCTTGTTGCAGGCACTTTGTGGGCAAACAATTGCAAGCACCTAGCAGAATCTATAGTTATCTTCAAAATGCAGAATGATATCAGAATACGTAAGCAAGCTATTCCACATCAGATGATTATAGCTAAGTGACATAACATTGTATAATGTACAAAAACTATTGAATATGAAATTTTTGTTGATCTATAACCCTCAGATCATTTTAATATTCACAGAGGCAGATTAATTTCTCAGGCTTCGGAGTAAGCTTCAGAAAAACACAAAAAGTAAGATATGGCAACTTTGAAGCAAAACTAAAGCATTATTATTTATTATTGATTTGTCAATCATACAGACAGATAATAATAAGGATTCAGTTTAACAACCTTAATGGAAAAAACCATACCATATCTCCAAGGGATATATGTTTGGAAATTCATAGACAACAGGACGCCTCTTCATCAAAAAACAATAAAGTTGGACATTGCAAGAAAAAAGATGAAGCATGAATTTCATTTAACGTGTGGCTACTAAGTTCCCCATGAGGCCTCCACCAATCTCATAATGTCTCGCATAAGAAATAACCCTGCATATAAGGCCAGTTTCTCCAATTCTTTCCCTACAACAGAAGACAGGTAATTTAGTCAAAAGCTATGGTCGTATTACATTCTCCCTAGACTTCAGATTATTTCTGGTTCTGCATTTAAAGCTCAATTACAGAGTACAACAAATTAAATTCTCAATTCTCAATTGTTTCAACATTCTGAGAAGCAATACAAATAGATGAAATTATTTTGGATCAAAGCATTATTCAATAGTTTGGTGTGCAGACACAATAGTTTCATTTGCAAAGAAAAACATCTGGACTACAAATTAAACACCTGTTAAAAATTCATCGATTGAAGTTTTCAAATACTTGTACTCCTTGGCAAGGTCATAAACCATTGCTGTTGGAACAAGTACATTATCAATCATCCATTCCTTTTCAAAGGCAACATTTAAGATAAATTTAGTTTCTCGTGTCAGAAATTTAATTTCTCATGTCAGCATCATATTTTGCCATTTGATTTTGAACTTGATTTGCTATTGTTGCATTATATTACAGTATTCAACTTGATGTGCTATAGGTTGGCCAAAAAAGAACTTAATGTGCTATGAGTACAAGGTTATCCAACACAGAATAACATCCTTACAACATTTTAAAAAATTCATAAAGGTATCGATCAAGTTAAGGCAATGATATTAATATAGCACCAAAAATAAAGGCACAGCAGTTGTGGCTACCTGAAATAAGACAGTAAATGGCAGCATGCTTTTATTAAAGTCAAGAATTGACACTCTTGAGCCTGAAAAACTAAGCAAAATTTAGAACACTCTCATTAATCTATGGCTACAATTTAATTAGAAAGAAAACCTAATTATCAACAAGAGAAAAGGAAGATTGACTATAGTCTATAGACCTCGCTTTAGAACTCGAAACGCATCCTGTTATCAACCACATTACATAGCCCATAACCCTTAGTTATAGCGTCAAAGTAACCATTAGAAAACGGCAAATCAAGCGCATCACCTTCAACCCATCTGGATTCAATTCCAAACACAAATTACATCATGATATAACAAAAATAAAACTTGTAATGTTTTTAGACGCAATTATAAATAACTTTGCAATGATTCGCATTTTCACTTTCTTAAACATGGGTTGTAGATAAAATTTACTTGTAAGTTGACAACTGGATTTACCAGTGCTCACTCAATGTTATTGTACCAAACCTTCGAAAACAAGTAATGCCGTGACGAAGCAATTGATAGTTGCTCCTTTGAGAAATCAAAGCCAGTTACCTACAAATTTACCAACCCAGATATATTTCTCTTTTTATACATAAATCCAAAATGCCAGTAATAAACAAAACATACTTTGCCGTAGGAACCAACTTTCTCGGACATGAGGAACGTTAAATCCCCAGTTCCACAGCACAAATCCAACACGGAATCTTCCGTTTTTGCCCTGTTTCATTACTACTTATATTAAAATTCCACGAAACAAAAGAACCAGAAAAAAGGGGAGAATTTTGATTACCACAACACCCCAGGATACAGCCATGTGTTTTCATATTCCATGCTGACCGAAACTCAGCAAATCATTTAACTGCAGTTTTTATTCAACCCAAAAACAAAAATGACAACAACAACAAACAACAATAAGAAGAAGAAGAAGAAGAATTGTTAAAAAGAAAAGCGATAGAGAAGAAGAGTTGGCTTACATTATCGTAAACAGGAGCAATGCGGTTAAAAAGCTCCTAGCATTCGCTAGCGCAGCTAACCGGACAGCGTTTGAACCGTGTACCAGCTAGATGCGGAACTGAGTGTTGAAGAGAAGCCATTTTTCCTTTTTGGAAGTTCTGAATTCCGATGCCTATCCTTTCTTTCTAAATAGTGATTAATGTAGCGACGAAAATAAGAAACCCAACCCATTACTATTTTGGGCTTCTGTTGGACCTCGACCGACCCAACGAGCCCATTTTGCCAAGTTGCCATTTGGAAAAACCATTTTTAAATTTTTTTTAAATAGGATGAATGTATCTTGGAAAAGAAGAAGTCTTAATTCAAAATCAAAGACCCCTAATTTTTTTTAGAGATAAGAAAAAAAATAAAATAAAATAAAATAATCATTTAAAATTATAGTACTCAATATAATTCCGATTAATTTTTATTCTATTCAAATTAAATTTAAATATTAAATATGTATATTAAGTTTCAATCAAATATTAAATAAAAAAATAAAAAAAACAAATTGAATTATATAAATTTATTAATTTTAATATACTTTTAAAATTTTATGAAATTAAAATAATTATTTTATATTTAAATATATTAAAATAATATATAAAACCCAAACAATAATAAATTTAAAAATTCAACAAATCAAAACGAATTAATAAAATTTAATTCGAAAATTCAATTCCAATTCCCATCTAATTTTAAAAATTTATGTTTTTATATAACATATAATAAATATCAAATCAAATATGATTCAAATCATTATCATTCGTATTATCATCCTAAGAACTCCTTACACAACCAAATGACATAATAAATTTAGAACCGAATACCTTAACCAGCAACCCCATTTTGTCCTCAAATTATAAATCATTTTTTTATTCTTAAATTGCAACATCTTGTACATCAAAAATTAATAATAATAATAAAAAACCATTTATCTGCTAAAGATACTTTCATCACATTTATTATGTCTACTTCAAGAAAAATTTTAAAATTAAAAAAAAAAAAAGCTGAATAGTTCAGCCAAATTTTCAAAGTATTTAATTGCGATTACCGGTCGACGAGGGACCATACATGGAATGAATTACAATTGCTATTACCGGTCACCAAGTCCGCAATACATTTGATGCATTCAAAATATACATGGAATGTAAGGCAAAACAAGCTAATTTAAAGTATAATTGATGATCTAGATATGCATTTGAGAATGTACTAATTGCACCTCAGTCGTCTGGAAAGAATTGTCCAGACAGATTGTCCATAACCGCGAATTGCATGCTCTCAGATGGTTTCCAGTGCCGCTTTCTTTGATTTATAAACCAGTTGTTGATTTGCTTCTGGTCTAGTCCCGTTGATTCAGCCAAAGCTATCTTATCAGATTCCTGAACGACCCAACAAAAATATGAAATGGTAATAATATCCTATAGTTCAAGCAATACCTTGCAAGCAGTCATAAATGTATATAAAGATGCCAGGAAGGGAAGAATTTACCGTTGGATATGGCCATTTGTAGTGAACATTCCACCACTCAAGCAATGTTTGTCTTGCTTCTCTCGGTAGTTTTCCTTTCTTCTTCTTCTTTGAGAACTCCACCTTCAAGTTGCTAATATGACTACCAAATCTACGAAGCAGCCGATCTTTGAGACCTCTGTCTTCACTTCTCGGCTGTGCATCTTGTGCATCTTGTGCATCTACCTCCCCACCACTAAGATCCTCGTCTGATGATACAGCGCCTTCATCTGGCCAGAACAGAAAAAAAAAATTGTAGTTTGATCATTCATTCTTAACTTCATATACTGCATATACGAAAATTTTTGTGGAAAGGTTGAAAAGGAAGTAAAGAAACATCCAGACATGCATTGTTTAAAGAATCCAAGACTTGCCCTAGTTTAAGCAACAAGATTTTAGAAGCACTAAAATTTTTTCTATACATTAACCAACGTCAAATGCCAAGATAGATGTGCATAAAGATTACAGAAGCATATCACCTGCAGTCATTGCATTATAATTAACCAATTACAATTTAAAATTATATGAAATCCATCAAAATTTTCTATGAAATCTACACTTATAAGTAATAAACCCCTACATAATTCTTTATTATGATTAAATAATTATAAAATTTTAGTAAAATGAACTGCAGGTGAAATGCACCTTAAAGATTCCATTGCCACAAGAAGATTTGCATCCCCCACCAGAACCCACTACTACACAAACTTCAAATAAAATTTATTTCTAGGAGTAGGATTCAATGGACCAAGGACAAGCCACATACGTATGCACAATTATATTACAACAAGAAAAGAAGTTTGGAAACCAATTTATGATCTTCTGCATTCCAATCAATCTCATCAATAATTTTATATAAATCTTAATTTTGTTTTATCATACTAAAAACTTCATTTCTAGACCATCTCACATATATCTATAGATTTAAGATTGAACCAGTTAGTCTTTTATTTGTGTAGTCGAATATGAAGGGAGCTAAGCAAGCAGCTAAAGCAGCCAGCTTAAGCTTTGTGGCTAGATTTTATACAGCTCGTTAACCGTTATAAAATTCCAAAAAGAACACAACGACACTGTAGAGACGCACGACAAGAGGACAGCCTAAGGGACCCCCCCCCTTCCCCAACTAATAGACTTGAACAACCACCCCCAACCTCCTCGTTCTTAATGACTATAATGCTATTATTATATAGTTGAAGGGTGAAGTTCACTTAGCACTGATCACTTTCCGACTTTACACAGTGTCAACATCGTGACCAAAAGGCGAAGACATGACCAGTGTCTGGTTATGTCCATTGTCATTCACACTCTGAGTCCGAGTGGACATGACATACGGCCATCATATCACATAATACATATGCCAGAAAGCGAAAGAGAGAGATAAATAGAGAAGGAATATTTCTATTTTTTATTAAGACTAAACAACTCCCGAAAGCTACACCCCAATTATCAATTATTACGGTGACACATAGTGCCCAGCAAATCTCTCTTTACCAGTTTAGCCTTCCAGCATGGCCCACTCCTCCTGACTATAAAATCTTGGTATGCTCCTGGACGGGACGGTTAGCCCCGACGCCTCGAACCCTCATCAGCCACCCAAGTGGGTCATTGCTCATGAGACTTCTTTTCTGTTACCTCTGGGCACCGGTCGTGGGTTTAAACCTTTTGATTGTGAAGGGCGTCGAAGTTGTAAGCGTGCGAAGGGAGAGTGAATACTGTACAAAAGCCAAAAGCCTGGACAATGAGAGGACCAAGGAAAAAAAAAACCCTCCTATAACAAAAGAAAATAAGTGCAGCAGCTGGGACCCAACGTGGAGCCCAGTTCTGAGCTATCATGCAAACACGTGTGATGCATATAAACAAAGGCCGAGACACCGACCCACCTAGGAAACAGGAATGACAAGCACCAAGTAGCGCAGCAGGGTAGACTGGTAAGACAGACCCTTGAACAATTGAATGAATCATCTGATTTTTCGATTAAAAGCCCGTTGGCTTCACAGCGAAATCTGCGGGAGTCCATGTGAACTCCGACCACCCGATCAAATCGGGCCTTTTTCCCATAACAAAAATGTCTTTTTTTTCTGTTTTTTTTTTTTATAAATATAAGTAATAATTTGCTTCGGACCCCCCAATCGTTTCATTATCAGCTGCCCCCTTTTCCACAAGTTGCTTAAAAGCTTTTCTTCGGGATGACCAATGCTTACCCAATTATGTAATTCAGGATTCCCTACGAAGCTTTTTTTTTTTTTTTTTGAGGGGGGGGGGCGGGGGTAGGACAGTATACCTTAAACTGTCGAATGTCATTGGGCGTTTAAGACTATGCAGGACAATAGTATTTCTTGTACCCATCAACCATGTGCTATATGAACATACTATTCCTAGGAAGAAAAATTATTTATATTTTATATGAAAATGAACTAACAGTTTAAGCCTGAAAGGGTGTCTGCTTCATTCTCTTTGATGCTCTTCTAGTAAAAGCAGTTCTTATTTCCTTCGGGATAGCATTATAACGCCTCAAAATCAACCTACTAAAAACTGGTGTGTGCATGCATAGGCTCTTTGATTGCTCAATAGTCTCCCGAAATATATACACCTCACTATCATAGCTTTCTTGATTAATCATGTAAAATGAGAACCAGAAGATCAAGAACAAGCATACTTATGATTCATTTGGATGGACAGTAAGAGAGGACTCTCATCACAGTGAAACTGTCATTTTATCACTAAATCCTAAAGTAAAATGATAACTTCAATGTGATGAAATTCTTTTCCACCGTCAATCCAAATGAAACATTAATACTATGATTTAATGCGATTGACCGACTCATGAGAACTTGATTACTTTTGCCATATTTTATAAAGAACCAATACGGACCAGAAATATGATGCAGTGCAGAAAAGGAGACTATAACATAATATTGCATCCATGACCTTCAATTGACTGAATGTGGCCATCAACATAGACACCAATGAAATATGCAGGCTTGACACCAGGAAGACTGCATTGTGAAAACAACGTGTGAAGTAAAAACCTTTTGTTTATTAGTTTACTTTTGAAACTAAACGAATTTTACTTTGAGCAGCTGTTACTAATGACTTAAATTGACCAGCTGTGATGATGATGTGTTTAATTAATAGCACATATCACGGAGCAATTTTGCAGCACTCATCAAACAAAAGTTTTATACCTCAAAGTTATATGGTAGAATATGGAAAGAAATGTTATGCATTTTTCACCATTAGAATGATGTTTAAAACAAAATATCACTGCATTCCATTATGAAGAGAAGGAAATATGTATAAATGCCAGCTATGGACATTTCAACATCCATATCTTCTTTCACTATAATCCTAGATAATGAGTGTAGTAGGAAGAACAAAAGTATAAAATACGCACAGAATCACAAGCAGTTCTCTAGATATACTGCAGGAAATTCCACAAGAGAAAAGGAACTATGAAAGGTGAATTTACCATAGTTTAGATTATTTCAGGAATATATATATATATTAGTTCATTTGGGAGATTATTCTATTAATTTGAACAAAACCAATCACCGTTCCTAAGTGGAAGATAATTTTATATATAAGGAGAAACATGATTTGATGATCATTTAATAGCACACAGTTGGATAACAAATGCTTAATAAACATGAGGTCCTACGACAAGAGCAGCCTGGCAGGTAGTCATTTTAACACAATCCAAGCATGTGAATTTATAAGATATTGTCCAAGTGGATCTCTATAAAAGACTACAATGGTTGCATGTGTAACGAATCTTAGTTATTTCTTTTCCTTTTGCCAGCAGATGTGTAAGTTAATAAGTTCCAACATAAAGTACCGCGCACAACACACCAAAGCAAAAGAGAAAATAAAGCAAATGAAGAGATTAGAATGATGATAACATCATCAAAAAGGTATATTGTACTTCAAACAAAAACAATTATAGTTGCCAACTATCAACAACCAGAATGCAGCTATTTACAACCTTTTCAACTTCCATTCTTTATGCAAAAATACTATTATTTAGTAGCCATCAATCTATGAAGTATGAACTCTTAAGGCTGCTACACGCATGCCAATTGCATAAGCCTCCCCCGTACAAATGGAAACATAAGCAGCTTTTTTGCAATAGAATCTTAGATTTCTAACACAAACTCTATATAAAATAATTTCTTAAAGCAAAAGCAGTATCACCATATGAGATTAGTTCAAGCCTATACAATTTCCAGCCATAATGGGAAAAAAGGGACCTCAAATTACTGTAAAATATTATATATTAAAGAAAGAAAAGATTATAGCAAGCCATTAAACCTTAATACTAGTGCTTTTAGAAAGCCACCATGATCTACACTCACGTGATCTCAGCCGATTTTTAAGCAAGTCAGTGGTTGACAATGACAATTGCAAGCATTAAAAAATGAATTAAATTAGCTTATGTTGTATATTTATAAAACTTGGTTATCCAAAACAACTTTCAAGAACATATTAATTGTCAAAGAAAATATTACTTTATCAACATATCAGCCAATCTGATAGTAGACAATTCCCAAAATTCTTCACCACTCACTATCCACATGCATAATAACTTGTGCTCTATTGGAACTTGAGACTCATTCAAAAGGACCAGACTGGACATCATTATAGACCATTATCATTCCGCTAAAGTAAGGCCAACCATTTTATTTTACACAAGTGGTTTGAAAGCATGCAATATGATACCATACATCAATAGCAAGTTTTTTGTCATGCTATTACACCCCCACACGTGCACAACACAAGTGATACAAATAGGTCTGAAAGAGGAACACTGAATCAAATCAAAGGCATATGTAATGACCTTTATAACTTTGAAAAATATGTAATAAGCTGAAGCATATAATATTAGATTATTACTAAGCCCCCATTCCTCCTAGATGGCAAAATGATTTTTTTTCCTTTTATAAAAAAATACTATTAACAACAAGTAGGGATCATTCAGCCAAATTGCAACATTTAAGAGCTATGAGAACAATACAATAACCAGCAGCAATTACATATGCTTAAGAAGCATAAAGCAGTGAATAAAATTTAAGTATATTGTTCTTGCTTGTAACTAGTATAAGTCTCTTCTTTATCCTTAATTTTGGGCATCAATATGAAACTTTCAACCAAAAATACAAAGTTAATTTATTGCTTGAAGGTCAACAATGATAAAATAAATCCTAACAAAAATTATTAGAAACAATTTCACGCCATGCTATACATTAAGTAGTGCTCATGAGCTCTTCACTTTTTTTTTCATCCGTGTCAACCACTTCTTGGATATTTCACTATCCATGGTGGTATGACATTTGGATCCTCAAAATTAATACAAAAAAACTGTCAAAAATATAAGATATTTGTGTCCAACACCCTATTCTGAGTCTATTTGTCAAAAACACGAGTACAGTATAAGATTTTAAAACACAGCAGAATACATAAACTAAACGATTCTTGTACTCAATTCTGTACCTACAGAAATAAGTTGAGTAACACTTAATAGGGCTTTTGGTTAAGTAGACTAATGCTTTCATCAAACTTCAAAAGGGTAAGCATTAGTGATCAATCTTGTGGTACTACTTCTCAAACAAACCAGACATGCATTTTCAAAAGGAATATGTGAGTATTAGCTGGCAGATGGAGAATGGAGATAACCTCATTGGACTGACACCTCCTCATGTATATAATAACTGAGCAAAGCAACAAATCTTTTAGAACCAAAAGAACAAGGTTAATGAGGACAAAATACTGCCATAACTGGAGAGTAAGAAAAAGATCCTTTTGGGTAAAATGACATAAGATAATCCAAACGTTCAATCAACTCAAACAATTGGCCCTAGGCTTTTGTACTCTAAGAGGCTCTAAGTAGGTTTTTGCATCATCTAAGGTATTGCAAAAAGAAATTGTTGAAGCAACACCATTGGGCTGAGACTATCAAGCAACTATTTCGCATGGCATCACTGAGCTCTAAAACGTCAATTCAGAATCTCAAAACCCAAAAGGTGTTACTTTCAGGTTTCATTTTTCTCTGACACACGGCAAAACAAAGATAAAATAGAAATAAAAAGGTAACTAACAGGAAAAGGAAAGAAAAGAAATTACAAACAAAGATGAGCGGGCAAATGGAAGCCCTGGATGACACTGATTGAATTGGAGAAAGAGGATTAATCCGTGTTCCACTACTGCTGAACACTTGCCATTTTTTACGTTTACTCTTTGCGGACAGAACAAATGAAAATTGAAGAGCAATGAAGTCTTAGCCACCCCAACCATGTTGGAAAAGAAAATTTTCAGACTACAAACCCAACAACGGCAAGTTAAGATAGGAACGGGGTCCATTTCATTTCTAGGGTTTTTTGTTGTCTGTTAGTGTTACTATTATTATTGACATACTCGAAATGTTGGATTATTCTTGGAGTACTGTTGTTGCCCTCCATTAGTGGGTTCTTTTGCAGAAAAGGATAGAGGAGATCTATGATTATGACTAGGAATGGAATGGTTGTCGCCCTCTTGTGGGTTCCATGATCCATATTATCATGTACCAGGAACCTACATAGTAAGTACCCAAGTTTTGCCTGCAAGTCGCAGGGATGATTCATGGGAGGTTTATAGATTGAATTTTAGCTTTTGCAGATCTTTGGGGTAAAATTTCTTCGGTAAGTGGAGCAGATAATGCAGTGTATGGAAAGAGAGACAGAAGATATGGTAAGCACAAAAACCAAGAATCCAAAAATTAAACAAAGAATAAATTAATTCAAAACAAATATTACTGGGATATATTTATACTCAGACTTGCGGAAGAGAGAGAGAGAGAGAGAGAGAGGGAGTTGACTGACCAGGAGGGCCTCTAATGGAAGCACCCGTGCAGAGATTTCGAAGCTGCATTTCAATCTTGTTTAGAAAGGTGGTCGCTTCATCAAAAGGCCTTGAAAGATCAGATTTGTATTTCACCAACATATCGCAGTAAGTTTCCTGAATAAATACGGACCGTCATATATATGTAATGAAAAATATAGAAAATCAAAGAAAACTTAAGAAAGAAGCTAGCAGAGAGAAAGAGACCATGAACTCGTCGAGCTCGGGATCGGCTCCCAAGCAGGTTGGCACGATATACCGCTTGTTAACATTGTTCTCTCTCAGAATTTCATCTAATATACTCGCTATCTCCGGAGGTGCCCCAACCTAGAATAGAAAAAGAAAAAAGAGATTACAACTAGACTCAAACAACTAAAACTCTTTTCCAAGTAAATTCCAACGAACCGCATACACTCCATTTGAAGAATTCCATCAGAGATTTCCCATAAAATTATGGGAATTGATCGAGAAAGTTTCTTTAAGAAGAGTAAGAAAAAGGGTTGGATCTTAAAAATGACAAAGAAACCAGTATAAACTTTCTCCATGACATACGCAGTAGAAAAGAGAAAAGCTTCAAGCTCCCAAGTCAGGACTAGTTCGAAACTAAAACCCTTTGCTTCAATCTTTCAAAAAAAAAAAAAAAACAAAGTAAACCCTCATTTAAAGCGGAAATTTAAAACACAACCAACAAAGCAACTCTAGCAAAAGCTTTCTCCTTTTACTATATTAATCTTACCTTGAAGTTCCTGCACATATCATCCATACCGTGACATAGCATCATATTTAATGAAGCTAAAGAGAAAAGGAAAAAAAAACGCTTGCAATTCTTTAAAAGCTGCATCTTTTCAGTGGTTTGTTTGCACCAGAAATAGAAAAGAAAAAGCCTTTCAATTTAGTTCTTTTCACCTTCTGGCAATCAATATAGGCTTCAAGCAAACGAGGATAAGATGGGTGGGAGGCGATTTTGGCTTTGATCACGCTTGACATGTCCTCTTCTCGTTGAATTTCAGGGGCGATGGAAGCAGCTTCGGATATGGCAGATGCAGCAGAGATTAACTCGTCGGATCCAAACATGGGAACCCGACCCGAAGAGCAAAGCCAAGCTTGGTAATCAGAAGGAAGTATCAGGTTTTCCGGTGACATCAAGGCCTTATCAGCGTACTCTCCCGTGGACTGGAAACCGTACATTTCATCCATTAAAGTGAGCGTCCCTCAAAGCCAAAAACAACTAACAAAGCAAGGAAATAAATGAGAAAAACTTGAAAAATTAATGATTTAAAAAAAAGTTGAAGGTAATGGGATAAGAAAAGTAAACACCTGGTACAAGAAAGAAGAAATAGTATGAACTCTTGGGTTTTGGCTAATAATTATTGAATAGTACGAGTATTTGTTATTGTTAGTTTTTTTATTATTTTAACTTGCGAAAATAAAGCTGAAAGATTGGATTTTCTGGAATTGGAGTGGCAGATAAGAACTGAGAGTGGTGTTAAGGAGTGTATTATTAGGCGGAAAAAAAAACCCACAAGGACAGATGCTGTGAGGCTCAAGCTAAAAGCTGAGCTAAAGCTACGGGAAGGGCTGTCGTTTTTTTTCTTTTTTAACAAAAATTAAAAAAGTGCCTGAATTAAAAATTAATAATCATTTAAATTTTTATTTTTTTATAATGAATTAATTTTTTAAATATTTTATTTTTATTAATTAAATTTTTATTAAACAAAAAATAATTAATTATTTTTATGGTTTAATTAAACAAAAATAAATATTTAAAAATTCAATTATATAAAATATATATTTAAAAATTTAATTGATTTAAAGTAAAAAATTTAAGATTTTTAACTACGATAAAATATTAAGAGTTTAAATAATTATTAAATTTTTCATTAAGGTTTTTTTACCCTTTGTCATGTTTTATATAGTAATGTATAAGTATTAGTAATAAAGTTGATAATTTATATATTTTTATTGTATTTATTTATATAAAAATATATAAAATATAAATTTTATATTAAATTTATATTACATGTTAAATATAAAATATATTTAATTAAATTTTATTAATTTTATATAATATTTTTTAAAATTTAAATTATATCATATTCGTATTTTTTATATTATTTTTATATCATATTATTATATGATATTTAAACTCACATACTTAATATATATATATAAAAAAAAAAAAACACATAAGATAAGGTAATAACCTTTTGGAATGGCAATTTTGACTATTTCTTTCCCAAAACTAAATGGAGAATATCCATGTATAGCAATAATTAATGTTTGGAATTTTACCTTTTCTTTTCCTTATAGTTTTGCAAGACAGAAACCGAACGCAATTGGAAGATTAGGGAAAATGAAAAAAGTTGTTTTACCTTGAAGAAAAAGCATAGTAATGCACATATGATAAAATCAAAACATAGGACTTGTAAAATATATGGATAAAATATAAAATACCTATATAGTCTAGTCTGAATGCTATGAATTGTATGATTACACTAGGATATAATTGATAACTACGATAAAGTTCACCATAAGAAATTCGTAAATTAAAACTTACCTTGGACTAAAATCCGTTAATTTCTCCCCAACAAAGTAGGATGTTGAATTATAATACTAGTAGTGGTACTAGTATAAAGTATACACATCATGTTTTAATTACAGGACGACATTAAAAAAGGAGAGTTACTCCTGCTAGCTACCACTGTTTTTACTTTTATATATATATAATACATTTGTCTCTATTTATCTTTTACCTAGCAAGATTGTTCATATTATGATTTTAATTAAAATAGTCAATTGAACTGATTTGATTAGTTAGTTCGGTCCATTATTGAAAATGATTTAAAATTTTTTATTTAATGAATTAACCAAAATTTTAAGAAAAATATAAAAAATTCAAAGATAAAACTAAAAAATATATGAAACAAATTGTTTTGTTTTATAATTTGTTAGATTTTTTAATTTAATATTTAGATATTGAAATATTTTATTTAATTTATTTCAAATATGAAAAATTAGGAGTTTTTTAAAATATAATTTAACTTAAATTTATAATTTAATTAATTCAAATTTTAATTGAAGTAAATTCGACCAGTTAAATTTTTGAAATTAATAAAAATAAAATAACATAATTCAATTAATCTATTTTTAAACACTTTTAATTCAAAATTAATCAAATGAAGACCTTACTCTTATTTAAATGATCTTTAAAATATATATTTTTAATATTTATATGATATATTTAGGATTTTATTTTTAAAATACTTAAAAATTTTGAAAACAAAACAAAAGTGTAAACTCTCCTCTATATTAATTGAACTAATCTTGTGCGTTTCTGTTTTTACTTTTCTTTATTAATAGAACTATTGCTCTTACAATTATTTTATTAAAAAAAGAGTAATTTAATAGTAGTGTTAAGTATATAATTGAGGAATCCTAAAGTTTTAAACTCAAATTTTATTGCGTGTAAGCTTGATTGTTTAATTAAATTTTAGTTCATTAATTAATTATTTAATGATATAATAATTGATTATTTAATAATATATTATTGATTTTATAAATATAATATTTAATATATATATATATATATATATATATATAGTTAAAGAATTCCGGTCGGATAGGGCTGGAGTTGGGATTAGTGTTGTCCAACGGGCAACAGCCCATTGTACGGAACCGGGTCATAGGGAAAAATGCTTCCTTTTTTCAAGAACCAATAAGGACCCGGCAAATAAGCTAGGCCCAAGATTTCCTTTTTCCTATGATAATATATAACTGCTTTTTTTCTCTCTTTCCGTCCCTTTTCTTTCCCTAACACCAGCAGAAATCAATAAGGACCCGGCAAATAAGCAAGGCCTAAGTTCTTTTCGGATTTTCTGTAAATCAAAATCTGGCATTAATATTCTCTCAATGCCTCAAAGACATCCCTTCTTCCAGGGAGCCGAAGCTGACTCGAACGAGCTAAAAAGCCAGAATGATGAATTGGTGATCATGAACATTAATTCATGAAAAAGGATGAGAAAGAAGCAAGAAGAATAGGGTAGAAAAGGACGAAATAGGGAATAACAAGAGTACACAGTAGGTCTGAGATTCGCTCTCTTTCTCTCGAGCATGACATCCAGCACCAAGTGAGCGAGATTATTGATGAGTACATGATGCCAACATGAAGATTTTTCATGCCCAATAAAATGCAGTGCTACTATATTTATGGCTGAAAGATCGAACAACTTCGACAGAAAAAATTTATAAAAAAAAAAAACTCTCGGAAGAGCCAAAACCTCGATGGAAATTATTGTGTAGCAGCTTCAATATATATGGTGTGGGATTATGGAACTGATCAATAGTAGAGTATATGAAACTTTGTTCCTAAGTTCTAACTCATAACCCGCTCACCCCATGTGAGAATTAAATAAGCCATAACAAGAGCTTACTAATTCCATTTCCAGCACTAACAAAAATGCTCGACATTCACATTTTCAGTTATGTAAGTTTTACCAAGTATTTGACTCATTGTTTGACGGATGTTTTCTCATGTTTGAGTAGGTGAGTTCGAATCTAATATTTTAAATATAAAAAAATGAATCAAATCTTCAAATAATTCATAATTGGAAAGTTAAAGGACTGTATTTATTTAGAATGACATCAATTACAAGGGAAAAGAAGCTTGTTTTCTTTAGGCAAAGAGAGAGTAGTAGTTGTTTAACAGTGAATTTTTTATTTTTAATAAAGATAAATCAAACATGTTACACTTGAATATTTAATTCAATAATTTATGCATACTGTCGGTTAAGAAAAGTTTGGTTCAAAATTTCATATTCCCAATATAAAAAAAAAAATTTTAAAGTTAGTTAAACACGTTTTTCGAAACTTTTTTTCTATGTTCTTGTAGCCTAACCACACTTTTACCCTAAACATAACGTAAAGCAAGACTAAAATAACCTATCCTAGTTCAAGCCAATAATGTGGCAAAAAAAGAAAAAAAAAAAACCTAATCCATTGTAAGCAAACAGAAGTGAAGATGCATTCCTAAAATAAGAGAAGCGTGATATATATTGCTAACAGAAATAAGACGATATATATTTCTTTTTGTATTAGTTGAGACAAGATATATGTGGATTTAGGTTTCCATCACTTTTATATATATATATATATATATATATATAAAACTTAAACTGGACTATTTGATTAGAAATACATAAACTTATCATTGAATCAAATGTTCACATACTCTATATTTTCTTTCCCTCTTTTACAATTGAAGGGAAAATATTGGACCTGATGATAATTATTTTTATCTTATTATAACTTTGTTAAAACTCATTAATTAGTATATAAAAAAACACATTAATTAGATTCAAATACCACAAAGAAAAGGAGAAATGGGAATATTCTAAATAATTGTAATTATTTAATTGAGATTTGAAAACAAAAATGTGGAAACCATTACCATCTTTAAAAAGCAGAAAGTAAAACTTTCCTAGAGGGGAATTTTTCTTTGTTTTGCAACTAAAAAAAATAAAAGCAAAATTTGGTCCAAATATCCAAGACTGACGGTAGTTTGTACAATACGTTATGTCTCTAAACGGTGGCCGACATGATTCGGATTGTCTGATCCGATCGACAACCTTGATTTATAGCATATTCATTTATTAATCCCAACCAATAATATGCTGCTTGGCAACCTATTTTGACCATGTTAGTATCGGGAGATTTGTCACATTTAGATACGAAAATACATCAAAAAATTTATATATATATATATATGTTAGACATTACTTGAATAAAAAATTTAAACTTTTGGGTTCTTGAAATTTTCATGTATATGTAAAATATCTCAATCTTATTTTTTAGTGATGCGAGATTTTTTACTCACATATAAACCATCCTAACAATTTCACCCGTTCACTTATAAGTTTTTACAAGTCCTACCTTGACTCTCTTGTATAAGTAAATCCTATCAACACATTTTTTGAGCTAAACAATCTCACATTTCTAATGCGTTTTTAAACTAAGTTACAGCACTTAACCTAGCAGCTTAGATTATCTCAGTGCCTCTCAAAGCTTGCACTCTAGGTTGACTAATACATTCCCACTTCGATGTTTTGCTTTTGCACACTCGCTACATACAAGTTGAACTTTTTTACTCTGATATCAATGTCCGAGCACATGGAGTTAATAAATATAGCCAACTTTTGATCTGCTAATAATCTCTCTCTAGTAACACTACTAAGACTCGAATCCTTGACATTGGTTCTAATATCAGTTTTTGGAAGATTTGTCACACTTAGAGCCACAAGAGCATACTAGAGTATACATACATATATGTTAGACACCACTTGAGCCCAAAAGTTTAAGCTATTTGATTTTTTGTTCTTCCATGTATATATAAAACATCTTATTCAGATTTCTTAGTGATGTGAGATTCTTCACTTACGTGTGAAACTTACCCCAACAATCTCATCCGTTCATTTCAGAGTTCTGATCAAGTCCCACTTTGATTCTTTCATGCGAGTAAGTCCTATCAACACTTTCTTCTCACCAAGCAAC